CACCGCACCTTGCCTTTGCACCAGCCCTTGACGTTAAGATTGACGCTGTATAGTATATTGAGGTTCTATAGGTATAATGGACAAGAAAATGGAAACTACTATAGTATTATTTAGGGCTGACCAAAGATTCCCTCAACAAAAAATTGCGAACAGTTGAAAGGTCGACCACTCTTGGGGGATTCTCAGACTTAGGGTCCCATCTTGGTACCCTTAAATGTTAGTTGCCGTAAGGCTATTCATAAACAAAAGGGACCCGCAGTTTCTAGAATAACCCTATTGGGGTCAGGGCTGTTTTCAACATAGTCATGCTTTAGACTGTTCAAGACACAGGAAGGCTCCAAATTGGAGACACATGGGTCGAAAAGCTGCCTGAGTTTTGCATGTTTTCGGTACGATGATCCCCTCGTTCTTCAATGTGTCACTCTCGTTTTGTTGCCACTTTAGCTTAAACGGTTCCTGTCATTAGCAGCTCTACTTAAACTTTGTGGCTGTGATGTGCAATAGTTGCTGGAGCAACAAGCCTGCTGGGGACGTGGTGCTTGGAGCAACCGATGAATTCATCAATATTCTTACTACTTACTACATACTACTTACTACTTATTACTACGAAGTATTTGTTACTTCTTACTTCTTACTTCCTACTTATCATTCATCACTTAACACTTACTACTTATTACTTACTACTTAATACTTATTACTTGTTCCACATTACCATTATAGTGGCAGCCGCAGCCTTGCTGGCTGCAATTTGACCAAGGCTGTGGGGCCTGCACCGTTTGGCCCCACGATTGCAACCCGCGAGTCGCAGTCGACGCCGAAATCGAGATCCTGACAGGCTTAGGGTTTAGGGTTTAGGGGGTTTAGGATTTAGGGTTAAGCATTTAGGGTTTAGAGATTGAGAGGCGGTACCCTTCACTGAACATCATCAGAATGGATAGAATGGATGACGCGAGCTCCTCGTAAAGTATTCGATCTGGCGTATAGCCAAATGCGGCCTCGATGACGGAGATGCCTGGCAGGCAGCTGTAAATCCTTCTGTCAAGATGCTATGCAAGGCGGTGGTTGCAATTTGAGGGCTGAGCAAGGGGGCGGCAAAGACGCCGCAGCTGGAAAGTCCAGCTGCAAGTACGGGTCGTCAAAGTCTCACGCAGGCAAGACGAAGCTGTCACAGACACCTCCTATAAATCGGACCTACTGCCACTGCTTCTTCTTGTAGCTTGGTCAGCATCTTCATTCGACTCTGTGCCTCGTCGTGAACAGCAGAATCCATTCAGCAAAGAGAAAAACGCACTCCCAAGGTAGTCTTTTCATCAGCTAGTAGCTCTGTACAGCCCTTTCTTGTCACCCACAAGCTGGCTTGTGGCAACTGTACTGGTCGGAGCCTCTGTGAGGTCCGCAGGGAGAAGCACCCCCCATGTTTGGGACTTGTCATGCTTCTCATTCGAGTGAAGTTCTTAAGGAAAACGAGATGCACTGCCAGGTTTTCAGCAAGCACCGCTTGGACGTTAACACAATCTTACACTTCCTTGGGGCCATCGCGGCCTCCGCGAAAACTGGCCCCCCCATCCTCACCCGGCACCAAGACCACTGCGCGTGTTTATCACCGAGCAGGCTGCATTTTACGGATGTCGACCTGCGAACAAAACGAGATCCATCTTGTGAACTGTGTAGCCCTGTCACGCACCTCTGGCGATCTCAAGTGCCGCGATTTCACGTAGAGCAAACAGCCCTGGCAGCTCACATCCCATCTTGGCATTGGCAACGGAATGCATGATACCCTCGGAAGTCCTGCGGACCGGCGGTACGCTTCAGTCGTGGCCTGTCTCCTGCGTTTCCTCAGGCACTGCACTCTGCGTACGTTGTGCACAAAGCATGCGGTCAGCTACATGCTGCTAGGAGTCTGCTCCAGGACCAGCTGCGATGTTCACCCAACGCATCTGAGAAGGAGCCCTCGATCACAAAGACCTCCTCCCCAGTCTCCGGGATATCAATAGCACCTGTCAAACAAGCCATGCTTGCAGACTCCTGTAACATATCTTTGGTTAGCTAGGAGTGAAAGAATGGATCCTTCTAGTAGTCCCTATACCACCCATTATATAAAAAAAAGAATCAATTTTCTTGTCCATTCCTTCATCCCAGCTACCCAAAGGTAAGGTAAGACTATGCAAGAGCAGGCCTGACTGACTGGGCTGCCACCGTTCGAAGTGGACCTGACAGGTTGGAGGTAAAGGTCACCAATATGGACCTTTGCTTTTTTGGGCTGTTAAGGGTACACATACAGTCTATTCTAGGCATATAGGGACATCAGGATTGATTAAGTGCCCGCACTAGGGCCCACACCACGGCCCGCGGTTTTTACTGTTCAGTTTCATGAAGTTCACTCACCCGTGCTGAATCCAGAAAAGGAAGTAAACTTGATAGGATTTTCAGGCTCCGCCTCTTCGAAGGGCGACTCGTATGCTTGCAGCAACTGTCGGCCTCTGATGGAGGGACATGGCCTGCGGCAGTTTCACACAGGTCAGGAGATGCCAAAGTGAGTGTCAAGCAAGCGTCAAGGCCCAGGTCGAGTGCCTCCAGTTCGCATTGCGCTCAGATATATCCCACTGAGTGTGCTCTGGCTCTTTGTGTTGCTCAGACATCCTTAGCAGATAGAGGCTTGACGACCTGCCATGGTACATCGCGTCACCAAGTGACGGCTTTCTTCGCTGCAGACGAGGCGCTGGCAAAGTTTGACCATAATAGTACAGCCCTTGGCCCCGATTCTGGGGGTATGTTTGGAACCGATGTAGTTTCGCACGTAGGTGTAGGTCGGCTGGGTAGCCCAATCATCATACCAGTCTCCCTGCAGCACCAGAAACTCCTGAACATCTTCAGCACTGTCTCCCACAAGGAGTCAGACCCAGTGAGCGCTCTAGACCAACATCGTGTCCTCTCCTCCATTGTGGACATGTGCGGGGAAAGCCGCATTGGGCTGGAAGCTTACGACTGTCGTGGCTCTGGCCACTTCACCACCGATCCTGTCATGATCGGCATGCTGATGCAAATCCAGATCCGTTTCAAAGCAGACAGGCCTTTCTAGCATTTTGCGACGAACTCCTCCGGCTGCCGTCTCGATCCATTCCAAGGAATCAGTATTCACCAAACCTTAGGACACACAAAATGCAAGCTGCAAACCACTCTTGCGACAGTGCAACCAGAGTGCAGCTCTGCGACTTGTCGCTGTTGAGTTCGATCCATTGCTGAGCCTGCCACATCAGTGGTAAGGCGATAAAACAGGCCACCATTGTCTGAAAAGTTCGCCACCGGGGAAACATCCATTCCAAAACAAATGCTTCAATATGATAACAAATAGGTCAAAACCATCACAAATCTCAAACCTAAACAGCTCTACCACGCAAAGCAAGTGACAAATGGCAATGGCTACTCAAGATACATGATACATGGCTAAATTCAGCTGATTGTGCCACAAAACAAAGCAATGGCCTTGCTGCTCTTCAGGAACTGGTCAAGGGATTGCTCCCGGCGACCACTTGCTGGATCACAGCGCAGTGGCACTGCAAAAGACCTGTCTCATTTGGTAGCAGACATGCACCTCTAGTGGGCTAGGAAAGGAAGTCTTTGTCCTGGACTATGCGGACAGGATTTCACGCCGTTTGAAAACGGACCACACACCGTTTACTTCTCTAGCCCGTGCCTCTCCAAACGGCGGACGAGCAGCGGCGCTGCCACGGAGGTCAGAGCCACAACGGGCCGGAGTCCCAGCAGCCGAGCCCGGTTCATTGCAGCCTGTGCGGCAAATCCAACACCACAGTTCAATCTCGTGGGTTTGGCTTTCACAGTCACCGTTGCGGGTCGGATTTGTCGCTTCCATCCTGAGGATTTCCCGATTCCCGCCCATCCTTTGAACGCAGGGATGTCAAAGAGAGCTATGCATGCATGGCCTTCTTCGGAGCTTGGGTGGATGCTTTGACCCGTGTTTTGAGCGTAACGGCTTTGAGCAGATACATGCAATTCTCACAATCAGAATTCCTGGACCAGTACTGAATCCAAACGCGCAAAGAAGCTGGCTAATTGCAGGATGCTTCGAGTCAAGTTTGATGACCGAGCCTGCTTGGCCATTTTCTTGTGACCCTGTCCAAAGCGTTGGATGAACTGCTTCAGGTGCGCGACCTCTGACCGGCAAATCAAAGTACTTTCTGTGAGTCTGCACCAGCGTTTTTCGAGGGTCCAACTTTTCTTTGCTGCTGCTGAGCAATGGCCTCACAGAGCCAGGAGCCTTTTAGTATTTTAGAGGTTGCTACTCAGCGTTGGACGATGCACCTCCTGATTTGTCCGCTGCTCGGCTCGGACTCGGAGGAACGTCTCATAGTTGCCGCCGTAGTACCAAAGCCTGTGTGAAGAACCCTGAGGTTGTGGGACAATCCCTCCGGTGGAAGCACGCTGCTGGCATGAAGAATTCGGTCAACTCTTGAACTTGAAAAAGCGCAGCCCCTTCGCCTCTTGCGGTGCAAGAAAATCGTGTGTGAAGTGGTGCTGTTCAGGAAGCACCTGATTGGCATCATGCGCCGATGGTATTGCAGAAGTATTGCTTTCATGCTTGAATAACTTGCCTGTCATGGGAGACGATCACAACAGTCTTCTCCCAATTCTTCAGGAACTCCTTCAGAGCACAGGCCGGCGCAAAACCTATCCAACATCTTGCCCCCAAAACCTAGGCTCATTTGTGAGTTCACGTGTTGGTTCTGCTTTGTTGCACGTTATCATGCTGTGAAGCTTGCAGAGGGAAAGCCCCAGGCCTCGCCTCCAGCCAGGTCACAGCATGCACATCTAAGTGATTGGTGGGCTCGTCGAGCAGCAGAAGGTCTGGCTGGACCTGGGGCTCAAGTAGAGCCATCAGGTTGCGTAAGTACAATATGTGCCTGTTTTGAGGGCTCTGCGAAGAGGGATTGCGCTAGCGCGATTCGCATGCGCCAGCCTCCGCTAAACTCTTTGGTTGGCCGCTGCTGGTCCTTGCAGCTGCAAACATCACTTCCTGCCGGCAAGGCAACGGTGATGCCTCACCAGTGAAGCCCAGGCCGGCCAAGATCACCGCCGCGCGAGCCTCCGAGGCTTTATCAACCATGTAGTGAGGTCCTCCACCATAGGAAACATTGCAAGTTGTTGTCAGAAAGTGTCTGCCTCGGCATCTTCGTTGCCCAGCTCCTCTAATCTCTCGTAGACCTGGCTTCTGGATTCGCGGATCCCCGGCAAAAAGAAATCTGAGTCTCAGTCCATGCTTGGACCTCCATCAGTCCAACACCCGCTACCTTCCACAGTCAAGCTTCTGTCCCCAAAAACACTCTGACAACTCTAAGAACAAGCTGCATGCGGCTGCAGAATCTCTGAAACGGAGGTGAGGCCTTGGGCTCCTGTCCGGTGCCGTCATCCTCCTTGTCTAGCAATTCCTCATGGATGTAAGGACAGAGTCTGAGTCACTATCTGTGCGTGCGCCAGTCTGCAGCGGTCAAGATCAGTAAATATACAAATCGGGCCTGCTCCACTTTGAGCAGCCACTCTCGCTCCTGGTCAGCCTCAGTAGCTGAAAAGTTGAGGTGCGATGCTGCCACCAGCTGCACTATTGCCACGTAAGCTGGTGTCATCAAGCATGGCAACAACCAAGTATGCGTTTCAGATCATTCCGCAGTTTGCCTGCAGGACGCTCTGCAAAACTGGAGTGTCATCACCCTTGATTTCCTGCAGGACAGGCCATGTCCAAGATTGTCAAAGTCATGCTGCAATGCTTGACACCATGGTGGCTCTGTCATGTTAGACTCCTGCTCCACGTGCATGATCATGAAATGCTGTGGAATTGGAACCCGTCCTCAGTTCAGTACTCGCACAGGGATTGACGCTAGAGGTTGTCCATGCTGATAATCCAGGGCCCTCACCATCGCGCTCTGCCATGGCACGGAGGAGCGTGCTCTTGCCGACGCCGTTCCGACCGATCAGACCGTACCTGTCCCAGCTGAGGGTGGTTTGGGTCAGCATTTAGATTTGCAACACCATTGCCCGATGCGGGGGGGATGTTTGCTGTACACACATGTCAGTCAAAACTGCATGCAACCCTGCTTTGAGAGACTCTTAGTCTTGGGAAAAATGTTGAACTCGTTTGCTTTGCCTTGTGGTTTCTGTCAACGTCACTGTCGTTTGGACGAGCATCTGAGGAGCCGCTAGGGGCGAAGGCCCCTAAAACAGAATCGCAACATGGTCGCAAATCCAACAACAGCATCGTCCACATCAAACGACAATGTTACAGTGGTGAAAAGACAAGACTGATGGGGCACTTGTGGCCCTGGGTTAGTCTGAGCGTTGCATTGTACAGCAGCTCCTTGCCGTAATCAACGAGGCGTCAAGCAAGGAAACTCCAGGACGGCCTGCTTCCCGGCGAACACGACGATCTCACTGACCTTGCTGGGTCAAGCTTTCGACCATCTCACATCAGATCTCGGAACAACCCGCCTCCTGAAATTTGGACCTCATTATGCATATTTTAGTTTTCAGGGTCGTTAAGTTTGTAAGCCATTTTCCATGTTCTTGTCCGCTTGATTCGCCATTACTGGGGTAGCATCTCCAAACTCAGCAGTTTCCATTTTCGTGTCCATCCCGATACCCCCAGAGAACCCTGTATGATCCCCATATAAGCCCTGGAATCTTTAGCACCCTGCCTCGATATCCATGCTCGCACCGGTCTTGCTTGGGGCATCTGGACCAGTCCTGCTATTAGCTTAAGTTTTCCATGAACTGAAAGAAAACGGACGTCACTTCAACAAAACGTTGCAAGTCTCGTCCTAATCTGGAAACCCAGGGCTTCCGCTGAGATCCGGTCTGTTTTCCCGTATCCTTAGCCACAGGACGACAATAAAATTCGCACCATGCCTCCACTGAAACGGAGACATGCTGCGCACAAAGCTGACGCTGCATGCTGATGCCTCCAGCAGCATCTTTTTTCTTCGATGCAGCTTTCGGTGCCTCTCTTTTCTTTGTATCTTGTCTCCTAGCATGTACATCTAACAACACCAACTGGCTGAATCCGACAAGTCTTGACATGCATCGTCCTTCCCATCTCGGTGCAAGCAGCCTGCGAGAACACACCGCTTTGGCTCAGGTTTCTCCATGGGAAATAAGGAGAGCAAGGTTCAAGGTAGAGCCGCCTGCAAAAGCTGCGCTCCAGAGCTTGGCAAAAGGGACGACTAAGGGGACAAGAGGGCCACCAGCGCAAAAACAGCGCTGTGCCCTCTTTGCTGTCTCAGCCACTTCTGGCCTGCTCTAAACTGCAAGCTTAGAACCAAGTCCTTCCTGGGCAGGCCTTATTCAGCAACCTCTGTGACTGAAAAGGCAACCCTCCCCCGAAGTACGTAGGCGGTGCACTTTTTTCAAGCTGGCAGATCTCCCTGCAGGACAGCGTGAACCTGCTCGTTGCCGCTGCTTGCTCCTGAACCGCTACCTTGTTGATCAAGCTGGACTCGGCCACGGACGCAGGCTGTCTTAGACCGCAAGCCTCAGCAGCCTGCTCAGCTTGCTGCAGGCGTTACAGGGTCGCATCTTGAACCACCTGCAGCAAACAAGGCTCTGCACATACTGCACAGCCGCTCTTTCAACGGATCGAACCTCCGGCATCGGTGGCCCAAACCTTTGGGAAAAACTCGCGTAAGGATACGCACACCTGAAACTGAGACTCGGACCTTTCAGGTGGGCGCATCTGCAGCCCCAGTGCCTGGTTTGCCGCAACATTTGCCGCAACCTTGCCGGTGAAAAGGCGTGCATCCATGATGAGTTCTGGGCTGGTGGGCTGGTGGGCTGGCATGTTCACATGCAGGCCTGTGTTGACTGTTGTTCCTGCAGTGTCGGCCTGCTTGGAAGCGCAGAAGCTCGTCTCAACACGAAGACTAAAGCAGCACCTGGAAATAGGATCTGCGGACACGGCAGTCCCTCCAGCCTGCTTTTGCGAGGCTTTGACGAAGCTGGCACAAAGGCTTTCAGTTCAGGTTTCTCTGGGCCTCACTGGGCTGGCTGCGCGCCAATGCATCACACTGTCAGGGGCGTTGCTGGACAATTGCAGGCTGCAGGCAGCAGAAAGAGCTATTTGGACTAAGGCCTGCAGGGTGTTGAAGAAGAAGATGGACACAGAGTCCATGAAGAACTTCGAGCGTGCTGAGTTGTGGTCGCCCTCCACCATGATGAAGTTCTGACCACTCTAGCCGCTGCTCCAGCGAGATATATTCATGCCGGTACATCCCATGCTAGGCCTTGTCCCCTGCATATTCAGCATGCAGCTCTCTGGCGTGGTGAGGCTTTATGAAATGGTCGTTGTACCTCGTGTAAATGCAACGCGGGGTTCTGAATGAGTGAAAGGTTTCTGCGGTGCACGCTGCGGTGAAAAGCGCAGGGATGAAGGACTTCGAGACATGCCTCAGAAATGCCAGTGCATTTTGTAGCAAAGCACCACATCAAACTGCACAGACATCATTTCAAGACACTGCTTTGGCTACCGAGAGGTTATCACTTCCCTGGAAGCTATCCACGTACTTCTGCCTGCACATGTCTTCGGTCCACACTGTGGAAAATCAGAATCCGACTGGACAGGTGCAAGGTCGTAGATGTCGAAGTCTGCGTGGGCACTGATGGAGCTGCGCACCTGCTTGCATTCACATTCCAGTTTGTCACCGGAGCTTGTGCAACTTCTGCTTAGGAGCTCACCATTTGGAGCGCTATGCCTGTCACCCACCTGCTACTACCAAGGGTTGAGAATGTCTTGCAAGATCGAAAGAAGTGTTGTGCCTTGGCACACGGCTGTTCGTGTAGCCATCGACAAGCTCCTCGCAAAGGACCTTGTCATGTCTGCAGGGCAGCTGCTGCGTGCGGATACCTTTACATAGATCTGCAGCCCATGAAAGTGGTCCAGGCCTTCAAGTCAGAGAAGGGGCTGTCCAGCACCAGGCCAGCAATGGAAGGATCACCTGCATTCGCATGAGAGGGTGAACGGAAGTGTAAACGCTGTGAGGCTGTTAGGCGCACGATCTGCATGGAGCAGAGCCGTGGAAGCACCCATGGACCGCCCCCAGAGCCCTGGGCAAATGCGTTTGAAGCCATGCAACTGTCATGCGGTGTCAGAGGAAGCCTATGTAGGTCACGGTGTTGGACTCTCGAAGATGATCGATGACAACCGCAAGGTCATCTCGCTCGTAGTACCCGAGGCTTAGGTACCTGCAGACTTTTTAGGTCTACATCAAGCCATTCATCGCCTGGTTAGGCACTATCCATGGGCGAAACACAATCACCGTGCAGCCACTCTGCAAAGATGTATGTTACACATTATAATTATGGCTCAATTACACGCAACTTCTGTCCAACATTAATTGCTTCAATCTGCAGCTTCGCAATACACGCCTCATGCGGCATTCCCAATGACCTATAAGCGCACTCACCATCAGAAAGACCTGAACCTGCAAAATCAAAGCAAAAGACCTGAGACGATCTTGTCATGCTTTTGAACTACACGAGGAGTTGGACAGCCACAATCTGAATCTTGGGCTCCAGGCCGTGATGTTAAAGGGCAATAGAACGGGCAGCGTGCTCACTGCCTGCATCAGAGTGCTCATGGATCACCGGGCCTTCCCGATGGCTGCTGGTTGAAGATGCCAAAGCAGAAAATGGCCTCAAGCCGGCTGCTACAGTTCCCGTGGAGGTACACCACGCATGGTAAGCTTGCGGCAGGCCGTTCCCTGCAGTGAGTGCGCGAAACATTGCAACATGTCAAAATCTCCTCGTTGGATTTGACCTCACCGTCTTGCCTTGAGATTGGTTCGAAGTGACTGCACCTCAACAGTAAAACACTACGACATACTGTAACTCTGCACTCGGCAACATCGCATTTCTGTATTGAACTTGTGCCGAGGCCAAAACACTATAGTCAAGCCTCGCGGATTCTTCAACGAAAAATCTGTCCGTTGAAACGTCCTGTTCCTTGGTGCGCCGTAATGACATAGACAATCGGCTGGTGCAACCACTGCTACATACGCATGTGGCAAATTATCATTTAGTCAAATGACTCAATGCTGAAAACTGGCGGTCCCAAATCCTGACAGCAGTCCAAAACGTCCATGATTGCGAATGTATGAACCACGCTTGCCTTCGCCCTAGACTTTCTAGACAAAGATGCAACAAGCTCATCTTGAATTCCGACCAAAAAACACTTAAGTCCAGTTTGTTCTCAAATGTCCTTGATCTCGTAATGGTCACGCGGAGGTCGGATGACGGCTTTCCACAACTCTGTGTACTGCCTGAGGGTGCATTGCAGCGCTGATGGTTTGGGGCGAGGAAACCTTTTCGTGCGGTTCAGGCCCCTGCTCATGAATCTTGCTGAAGAAATTCATGCCATCTGCTTGACGTGAAATGATGTGCTCTGCCCATTGCACTAAAGCATTCACTGCACATTCATCTTCGTGAGTCAGTCCGACATCTACATGAATGCATTTATAAATGGTCAAGCAGGTGAGTTGGGATGTCTTGGTTGTCAATTCGCAACAAAACCAATATTCCTGGGGCACTAAACTTGTATAGACGTTCTAAGTTTGAGCCAAATACCAAAACTTATAAACCAAAAACCTTTGGTTGCAAAATTCGTCAAGTGGAATATCCTGACATTCGAGAAATAGTATTCTTCGAAATTCTGCATTCATTAAAGTCTATCACGCAGCAGTGCAACTGAAGACGACACTCGCACCCTTGTTTTCCATTGGTGGCTTGGGGAAAGAACTCTTGGTCAAGGCATGCACAACCACTCGGCAGCGGTTTCACACGAGCACTGGGGTGAGGCGCACCCCGGAAGGCAATGCATAGACCAAGGTGGTCTAAAGTGCACGCATGCTCAAAAACCCTCGACGTCTCTTCTGCTGAAGAGGAAATGAGAGTAATGGACACAAGTCCACAAAAAGGGCGTGTAGCCTGCAAGTAAGGATTAATGGACGGAAGTCCATATCAAGAGATGTCTCAAGTTTGCGTCATTATCAGGGCGCTCTAGCTAGCGCTTCACACGGGTGTTGTAGGGCGGGCAGGGAGGGAAAAAAATTTGATCAAGACATGTCACATGAAGACGTGATGCACACTTAATAACTGCATGTCTTGAATGCTTGCTGCCCAACACTGAAGCATGCCATTGCTGAATTCGAGCCCAGCACAGAAATAACAATTGCGCATGCTGCGTGAAGATTCAAGCGGATGCCATGCAAGAAAACACATTTTGTTTTTGGACCTAAGGCTCAAACTTAAAACGCTATCAACCCGTTGACCGCTAGCTTAAGTTTGAGCCAAATGCCAAAACTTATAAGCCAAAAACCTTTGGTTGCAAAATTCGTCAAGTGGAATATCCTGACATTCGAGAAATAGTATTCTTCGAAATTCTGCATTCATTAAAGTCTATCACGCAGCAGTGCAACTGAAGACGACACTCGCACCCTTGTTTTCCATTGGTGGCTTGGGGAAAGAACTCTTGGTCAAGGCATGCACAACCACTCGGCAGCGGTTTCACACGAGCACTGGGGTGAGGCGCACCCCGGAAAGCAATGCATAGACCAAGGTGGTCTAAAGTGCACGCATGCTCAAAACCCCCTTTTAACCGAACCTATGCAGGCGGGGATGGGTCTATAACCCTTAGAACCTTACATAAGGCGAGGGGAGAGGTGAGCGGGCAACCTGGCGGGCTCTTCCCTCAAGAACAGATGGGCACAAAAGGACAGACTTCAAGGATGGAGGACAAGGCTTCGTGGTGATCGGAAGCTCTCAGCCCTCGCCATTCAGCAATCAGCTCATGTGAGTGCCGGTCTTTTTTTTCCGCTTTAGGCCGCAGCGGTCTGGTGAACGTGCTAGCGTAGCGATGTACACTGTACATGTACAGTGGCCGCTCTGTGGCGGCTACCCCAAAATACAAAGAAGGGCGTGGAGGCACCACTATTCCCGTGAGACTCCAAAACGTGGGATGATCAGGAGCCGTAGCTCTACAATCTAATCATCCGCGGCTCAGCGCACTGCACGACTACACAGCTGACTGCCAGCATCCGTGCTCATCAGAGCGAAAAAGCACAAAGCACCCCTGCAAAAAGCTGTGCAGTGCACATGCAGCATGGCTGATGGACTAAAGAGTTCAACATATAGAACTGAAAGGATCAGGATCTCCCCTGTATGGAGTGGTGACACCACATCCATACCTACACAAGTGGTCAGCCGCCGCCCCTCGCTTCACCTGATTGCAGCGCATGACAGTAAAGCACATAGCAGTTGTCAAAGATTTCGTCCATGAGCCCATCATTGTTGAGGTCCAGACTTGTGGCCACCCGATTGTCATCTGTATACCACAGATTATCGTTCGGTGAGCCTGGATCAAGGAGTGCTGCCCTATAGTGCCCGGCTTGCACTGTGGGGCCAAGGTGTACCAGCGCTGCTTGTATCACGCAATCTTGCCATTGACAGTCAATGCCATGCTCATCTCTAAAGAAGGGGATCTGGATCTTATTTCTAAGGTCAATGGGAATGCCATGCTTGACGTATGCCCCTGTGTCAAGTTGCCTGAAACGCGGTAGCTGGAAAAGCAGAACCTCCGGGACTGAGTCCAGGGCATGCAGCTGGTGCTGTAGGTGCCACGCATTAATGGTATCCTGAAGGTCGGAGCTGATGAGGCCATCCGGTGCATTCAGGTGAAGTAGTCGAACATCAGCGTGGGCCTCCCTATGAAGTCCATCCCCAATCTGACACCTGACACTCCAAGTAAAAACCGTGGGATACCATGCGATTCTGGGTAGGAGGTAAGTCAGGAATTCTGCCGCATCATGTTGCGCCTCTGGTAGCCTCCATGCCGCAAGTGACAACCTAAGGAAGTTGCGCGGGTACCATGCGCGCCCTCTAATCTGCAATCTCCACGCTTGGGGCAAGGCCTCATCAAGATTGGTCATTGTCATCTGCCAACATATGCTAATGATGGAAGCATTCATGTAGCACGTGTTGCTACGGCTCTCAAGGCGACACTGAACGATGTCCCGCTGAAGCGTGCCTCGCCTGCTCCCCGGTGGGTTGCCTTCTGCAGGGCCGCCGCTAGCCCATGGCGCTGGAGCGTGGGTTCCCGCAGTTGCGCGCACACCAGCCCCCATACGGAGTGATTGCATAATGTTCGGAGCTTGGCATGCATCCTGTCTGCGTCCTCGCTTCGCAGCGCTATCTCCAGTGTGAATACTGCTCGGTCCTGATCCTGTGGTTCCTGACGAATTGGCCTTGAAGCATGAAATTTGGTGACTATGTCTGGCCGAATGAGCTCCTTCACTTCCATGAGGATGCCTCTTACCTCGTCCGGAGTCAGGGGGGGAACTGTAGCATCTGCCTCGAGCTTCTTGTTCACGGAACTCCATTTCTGATACGGCATCTTGTTGTCGCCATTTAGCAGGCCAGCTTGCTTGGCGGCTGCCAATGCCGGAGGGTTGCTTTCGAGCATGGTAAGTCTGGCCATCGTCTCCTGGATCAGAACACTCAGTATCGTGGTGCGGAGAGACCCGACAACCTGGCCCGTTGTCTTGTTTTTGTGCCACTCCTGGCTCACCTTGAAGAGCGGGAGAAGGACAGAGCCCGGGCCCTGCTGCTGCAAGAAGAATGTCAGACTGGTACTGAGTCGAATTCTGTTGCGCGCATCCTCGTGTTGCAACACCAGTGCTGCTAGGAGTGACACGGTCTGCTGCAGACTGTTGTCGCCGTCTGGGCTTTTCCTTGCTCCCCGCCTTGTCCGCGGCCGCTTGCGTGGGTCTCTCTCCGGCGCCTGCTGCCGTGCTGGCGTCGGGACCTGCGAGATTTGTGACGCTAGGCCTGGCAGCAGATGCTGAAACATCTGCGTCGGCGTCTCCGCCTCCGTCATCCTGTGATGTGAGGAGAAGTCCAGCCATGGCCGATTGGAAGATCACGTTGCACTGTTTAAAATGTCTATTGTAAGAGGTCCTATCGCAGTATGGACAGACTCCGTCTCGCGTAAGCTCTCCTTTAAGCTCAGCACACTGCTCATCAAGTTGTTTGTCAATCTTTGCCCAAATGTCTTTGTGCGCTTGCTTGAGATGTCGCTTGAGCGCAGTAAGATCTACTATCCACCGCGCACATACAAGGCAATGCTGACGGAGGTGTTGCTGATGCTCTGAGGTGACAAGTGAGTGCCACCCATCCCTCAGCACCATGCTTTTTACCGCCGGGTTGGCCAGAACCGGGTAGGTCTGCACTAGTGGTACTTGCACGGGCGTCTCAGTGCTCGGGAGACCGCAATCCCCCCTTGGCAGTGCATCCGAAAGCGCAGGCTCAACAGTATTGGACATGGCATGAAGTCTGGCCTTCATCCAGGGCGTGTGAGTGCATCGGTCCTCCGCAATGTGAGTCTTCAACGCGTGCCAGGTATCGAACTTGTGCTCACAGAACCTACATTGCGGGAGCCCTTGAATTGCGTGCGCAGCAGGGTCAAACTCGATTGATTGTCTGTCATTAACTCCATGCACCCTAGTTTTGTGCTTGCGCATGTTGTTGAAGGTGGCAAAACCTAGTCCGCACACATCGCATTTGATGCCATAGCTATCCTGATCAGGCTGCCTAGGCGGATTTGTAGTCGCATCAGTCTCAAGTTTATATGTCGTGAGGACATGCCTAAGATCGTACAAGATGGCAGATTTTTTGACGTTTACTCGCATCCCCAGCCGATTGAACACGTCAATGACGGTCTGGATATTGTCAAGGGCTTGCAGTAGATGCTCAGGTTCCCTTACAAGCCAGGATGCCAGAGCATCATCGGCATAAAACGTGAACAGGCGCTGTAGCCAGTCCCAGGAGATACTCTGCGCGAGTTCGTCCATGATATGGACCGTCAATGCAATAAAGAGATAAGGAGCGAGCTTACACCCCTGTTTTATCCCACACGTCGTGCCCACAGCACTGCTGCGCTCAGATACGGTGGAGCGATAGCAGGACTCGAAATGAAATTGCATTATCAGTTGGACGATGTCCTCAGCAATGCCCAGCATACGGAGACTATTAGCAAGTGCCGGTCGCGGTACAGCGTCGAACGCTGACTCAAGATCCAACGAGAAACAGATGCCACCACTACATCTGGAGGGTTTAGCGCCCTGGTGTCTAGCATGAATATTCTGTTTCTGCGCCAGGCTGAGGGTCCGGGCTTGTTTCGGGAAGCCATGGACTCGTAGAAGCGCATCAAGTGTTCCCCGGCCTGCAGTGTAAGCAAATTGCGGACGTGCGCAAAGGGCCTCAAGTAGAACAGGCTGAACGTGCTGCCTGAGAATGGTACATGCAACTTTCGAAAGGGGATGCGTGAGGCCGATGGGCCTCAGCCCATCCGGGCGATGACTCGGTTTGTTCGGTTTTGCAAGCCAGACCAACCAGGCATCTCGCCAGTCTTGGGGGACCGGCCCAAAGGTACCTGCCCTCCAAGTGTTGCGAAAGGCATGCGTGAGGAGTGGTGCAATGTCGTCTGAGCACATGCGCCACACTGCTGACATGGGGACATTCTGCGGCACGGCTTTATACCATGGCAGGCTACGTAGCGCCTTGCTGACCTCCACGACTTCCACCTGGAAATCCTGTTGTAAGGTGTGTAGCGGCGCCTGATCAGCGGTCTGACAGAACTTTGCGCGACAGTGCTCAACAATTGCTTGCAGTTGACCCTCAGGGTCGAGCATGGTACCATCCTCGCCTCTGATCCGCACATGTTCCCGTGGTCTCCATGGCGCGAGCTTTTTAACTTGTGTGTAGACCTCTCGCTGATCCCCTCGTTTTGCCGCGGCCTGGAGCCTGCTCTCAGCAGCTTGGAGTTTGAGCCTTTTTACCATGTTAGCCGCTTGCTTGACCTGTACAGATGTTTTCCGAAAGGCAGTGTACTTCTCCCATGCTGTGAAACAGCCCCTAAGAGAGGTGTTGCATGAGGTTTTAAAAGCCCGGTACAGTTCCCACATTTTTCGTACAGGCTGCTGAAATTGGGGCATGCTGACACGCGCTCATCTGGACTAGTTCCTCGTCTCGGGAAAAAAGCAGCCAGCGACTCCTGCAAGACAGTAGTTAGTACATGATGCAGCTGCTGAAGGTCGAGATTTTCGGGAATGGCCTGAAGTTGCTGAGCAACACTTGCCTTCATCGCGAGCGCGGCTGGAGAATTGTGGGCAATGGCCGTTTGTACCTCTTGATTCTTGGCCATTTGTGGTCGTTTGGGAGGCAAGGTCCAGGGCTGCAATTTACGTACACTAGCTCCAACCGGTATATGGTGATTTTCCTTCCATGTCCCCAGTGCACAACCGCGCAGCGGCTGGCAGTGTTTCGCCTGGAGGTCTGCGTGTTGCACGCGACAGATTAGGTAGTCTAACTGCGTTCGACTCCCACTATTGACACACGTGACCTTGTTTTTGGCGTGCCAGGTGTTTAGCAAAGTGAGGCCATGATCTTGTAAGATACTGTGGAATTCGTCCTGGTCGGGGTATTCTGATTGGCTGTGTAAGATAGCAGCACCCGTGTGGGGGTGAAGGGTATAAATGGGGGTGTTGTAATCGCCACCCATTATGAAGTCATTACGTAGGGGCACGGAGGCAATGGCTTGTCTCATGGCTAGCCAAATTTTGTGTCTGTGCTGAACATTCTGTTCAGTGTTACAATTTCCTCTCCACACATGCTGATATACACAGATCACGTCAATAGAGTTATAACTTGCTGGTATGCGCACATGAAGTACTCGGCCCTGGGCGTATACTCGGTAGGATAAGCTATCGGCATTGGCCAGCCGCCTGTGCACAAAGATGGCTACGCCTGAGCTTGTGTCCCCCTTTTGTGTGCCAGCTGCAACTACATGCCAGGGGCCTGAGGTGTAGCACTTCGTGTCGCCTTTCCAATGCGTCTCCTGTACGAGTACGACATCCAATTCTGATTGGTGCACCTCCAGCCAGCAAGTGAACTCCTGATAGGCAGCTGACGAGGCTCCGGACATGTTCCAGGTGATGACGCATGGTATTGGGCTGTCTGGTCAGTCTCTGTCGCTTAACAGTGACGGTCGGTGGGGCCTGACCTCGTATGAGTTGAAGGGAAGATTGATCATGAATTCTGCCACGGTACGTTGTGGTACCATTGGCTGCAGCGCGTGCGCGAGCTCTGCGGTACGCACGTTTGGCGCTCCATGTATAGGGGCATGCATTTACGTGATTAGCTTGGCCAACAACTTCGCCATCCCGCGACGGTGGATGTCTACCATGGTGGGTGGCTTCAGGAGCAATGTTGGCTGTCACTCCAACCCTCACTTCTGGGGCGACCCTGACGCCTCTGGCAGCGCCAAAGAGGCAGAGAAACTGAAGAGTTCTCATTCGATTTCCGCCTCCCCCACCGGACTTGGGACCGGTGCGGCTCGGTGACATGTTTGGTGTGTGATTATAGTGCTGGACACTGGCCCTTCCGTCGCAACCAGAGGAAGCTTCGGCCGCTTGCAGAAGGCTAAGGACCTTTGGTATGACATTGCGCTGCCGGATTCGCTGTGTGAGCAACTTACGTGCATGTTTCACTGTGTCCATGAAATGTCTCTGCGTCGTGACCCAACTGACTAGCGGGGTATGTTTTCGGATAGTGGCGGATTTGTGGTCTGTGCCCGTCAGTCGGGCACACGTTTCTGCGCTTCGTTCGACGAAGTGCAGGTTGCCATGTTCGTGATCTTTTGTACCTAGACCCCCATAATAACGGGCCATCTTTTGGTTGTATCATTCCCTCAAAAACCGGATTCTGGTGTGGAAAGCAGGCTTCTCCGAGGGTGTGACCGTCTCTGTCATCCGGGAAGCTGCCACGGCGATGTACCTGTGATGTCAGCGCACGGTGTACTACTGCAGCCCTCGGGGCACCTTGCAGCCGAGCCCTTGGCGGCAAAACGCCCTGGTATCCTGAGCGGTGTGACCGTCTGCGCTGCATTGTTGGCTCTGGCACCGGATGTACTGGAAAAAAGAGAGGGCTCTTTTTCGGTCTCGGTGTCTGAGCTAGGCGGAGTGTAGATAAGGAAGGACTCACGTGGCTCATGCGAGGTGGGCGTGACAATGCTGAAGCACTCTGTTTGAACTTGACAATCTTCCAGTGATGCGTCACAGGGAAGGAGTAGACCCACTTCAGACGGCACCATCCGCGGAGTTACGGGTCTGGTATTTGCCGAGGCTGCTGCGGAGTCCGCAGCTTCAACCAAGGTCTCCTGGTACGCCAGCTGTGGTTGCAGAAGATAGCACTCGGTGAGCCATTGCAGCTCCACCTGCTCTGCCGGGTGTGTATCAGCTATCTCCTGGAGAGTGGTCGTCAACAGGGCTTCAACTGCCGCATCCTCCGGGTCGGCCATCGCATCGCTGGCCTCCCCTTGTTCAAGGCCTGCCTGCACTGGTCCAAAACATGGAAGCTCCTGCGACCCCGATGGAAATTCCTGCCAGGGTTCCTCTTGTTGGGCTTGAGCGTCCCAAGGTTCCTGAGGTTGCGAGCTAGATTCCGTAGGATCGGCCGCCTCTTCGGGAGAGAGGTTATCGATCGGAGCTTCGCACGTCTCGGGTTCAAGCTGAGTCAGAGGCAAGGCGACTAGAAGACCTTCAGGACGCGGAGCAGGCAGAGCTGGTGGTTGTCTCTCCCTCCTGCCTGGCCGTTGGGCAGAGCGACGTCAGCTAGCTGGCGACGGCATGCTGCCCAGCGACATGTACTACCCTGATGCAGCAGTACACCAGGGCGTTGTTGAGCCACAACTACGGTCAGCAGAACAGTTTTCGTACGACGCTGTGCAGTGGGCTCTTGGCATGTGAATCCGCGGCTGGCTACAAGACCACTCTCAATTGTCTGCATACTGAGCGAAGGGCCGTGTCTCCTCCAAGAGGCATGAAGGATTGGCCTGTCAGGTCTAGTGCAACGTCGCCAGTCCCATTGGCTGGGTACTCCTTGCGCCTGCAAGTTGATCGGTGACCTGTCACTTGGGCTTGGCTCAAAAAGGAGTCCATCGTGTCTGGAGACATGATTGAGGTCATGTATTACCATCCCTGCAGTATACTTTTCCTCTCGCTCAAGGGAGAGCTGCCCAGACCCCCGGGTGGATCCAGAA